GACCATGGTTTTACCTAGGATGTGCATTTTGCTCCAAAACAGCTAGAGAGTTTCCTGGTACTACTGATTTTTGGTGTGATGAGCATGAGCAGTTGATGGGTCAGGAAACCCAGAAATGGTTTGTCTAACACAAAACTATTTCTTCATTGCAACTTCCACAATTAGCTAACGCTGAAATTCTTATACATTTTATCAGCTACAAAATCCATTTGGCAGTGGGAGACACTACAGGTTCTGCATGCTTTATCATGCTTGGAAAGACCGCTGAGTCTTTACTTGGAGTTCCTGCTAACGAACTGTCGGCGCGTAACCCTCAACAGCATGGCCATTGCCCTCCAGAAATTGTTGCCATGAATGGACGTTGGTTTTCATTTGACATTCAACTCCCTAAACCTGGCTATTTACCTCAAACCCCTTTGGAGTTCACCATCCTTTCTGTGGCCAACCTCAACCAGCCTCACCAGTAGTCCAAGCCAATATCAACATGCACATGAATCACCCAGTCAACAACATCAATTGAAGTTTAGCATTCTTCTTGCTGATCACATGGTGTATGCAAGTGCATCAATGAGTTTTATTGAATAAATCTCTTTCTCCAGATTTGCTGCAACAAGATGTGTGCTTGGAAGATCTGCAGCGTACCCAAAGCTACTGATTTTGGCATAGATCAGCAACACTTTTGTCAAGAGCAGAGAGTATATGTTCCTTAGTGTTTTATATTGGTTGGATGTGTAAGTTATTAATAGGTAAGGAAAAAGTTCCCCAGTGAATCAAGTGTTCGATTTTCCACACAATGGTTCCAACCAAATTTGTAAGTTGGAGAAAATCAATTTTGTCAATTTGTAAAGAAAAGCCTCGATCTGTTGTGTTTTGGACCCATGGGATTGATATACATATGCTTATATTAGTTGAGAGAACATTTTTATGTTCGGAAACAATAGACCCCACGACCCACCAAAAGATACAGGCCCAATGTCTGGCCCGTTAATGGCTCAACCTCTATAAACCTTAATATCCTTCACCAGCTTAGAATCACAATCTCCTACAGATCCGCCGCGCAAACCCCACACCTCTAACTGCCAGACAAACCAGACCTCGGAGGTAATTCCCCATCTTTTTCTGCGCCACTAATTTACAGTTTAAGATTACTACTCATAAATGGGTTTCGTCTGCTACTGCAGGGACCCACCGAAAATGGACGATTTGGGAAAAGAACGACGCTCTAAAGAAAGCGATTCAGATGTCCCATCGATCCGCAAGGTGAAAGCTAGACGCCTTAATTTTATGAAGTGGTCCTGCGAAAATGTCTCGAATCCTCTGCGATTTTCGCACAATTGTTATTTTACTTCTCTGTCTTACCTTTATTCGTGTTCTAGATGCCATTGTGGCTTCCATGGATTTTCGCGGTTTACATTTGGGCACCAACCATCGTACCGTTTTGTCTCGCCTTGTCTCTATATGGTCAGAATACCAACACGGACAAATTTGGAAGAAAATGACTCAGCACATGCTCTGGCTCGACAAAAAGGCACGTTCCCACTTCTCAAACCATTATATGTATAAAAAGAAAAAATTACCGACACAAATTTTTATTTCCCTCTTTGGTATAAATCATGCAAGTATTCTGAGTTACTAAGAAGTTCGCCTACCTATGCAAAACACCAACAATTTCAGAGCCAGCTGGTCGAAGCTTTGGTTGAAGAGGAGCACATTCGAGAAATCTCTAAGAAGATTAAAATTGGCTGTTTGCATCAACTCCGTGATATTGTTGCTGGACCCGCAAGAGAAACACAACGCATTGTACCAAGAGAACTACGCCTGCACCTGACTCCGAACCAGATCATCGGCCAGATTGAAGATAAGGAAGGCACATCACAATTTCCAGTGCGCCGATACCTGCGATTCACTTTTTCAGCATTGCCAATAAGAACACCCAAGTTTGAATGCCATGCAGGTAACGTTTTCTACATAACATCTTCACACAATCATTTTACCGCTTCCAATAACATATTAACAATTGAAATTACAGAAGTGACAGGGTGTGTGCGCCGTATCACAGTTCCAGAAACCATCGAAGGTTGTCTAAAGAAATTCGACTTGGTCATACAGGATGTCTGGTATGCTTTTCTGAATTAAAAAAAAAACATATTGTTGTTTGCAAAATTTAGAAACTCGCGTATTTGCCTTGCAATCAGTGGAGATAAGGCAATTGTTCGCCATTATGGGTATGATATCGGTGAATTTTTAGAGAATGCACCAGCAGCTGAACAGTGCATGTCGTTGATTGTCAAAATTACATCACTGATGCGAGTAGCTCCTACCAACGACCATGAATACCAATATGAGTTTGAATCCACACTTGCCAGTCGACTCAGCATTCGTTCCTACACAGATGGCTGTGAGGATGTCATGGACATGTACAAATGAGTTGCTTTCATTTGCCGTGCATTACTTTATTGTTTTATATTACAGAAACAGTAAAGGATAACTGACTAATTTTTTTTATCGCAAGATAGCTTTGTGCAGGCCCGCAAACCAGTTTGGTACATCAATGGTCCAGCTGGAGACAAAATTGGTTGGCTCCGCACCAATCGGCCACCAAAGAAAACTCTAGCAGAAATCAAGGAGCAGCTCAATGGCCAGCCAGAAAGACAAAAGGTACTTACAGAACTTAATGCTTTGCAAGATAAACAAGCAACCACAACATTCTTTCTCAACTTCTTACTAACCCAGACATTAAATTCTTTACCACTGATCCTTTATCAATGCATCATCGACATCTCACAGGTTGTGTATAGAAAGAGTATGTGCAGTTCAACTCCAGAACGACCAGAGTGAGTTTGCAACACCTAGGTCCACCTTTTTCTGCAACACTACTTTTCAAATTTTTGGGGCAAAACTAACCGCAGCCTTTTTTATTGCAAGCTTGCATTATAAATTGGCTGTCAAGTGTCATCAAGGTTCAGTCAAAGCTGATGTTGTGTTCGAACATGAAGCAGTCCTCTCACTAATTCATGTGTCGCCCGCAAAATTTTGTTACATGAAAAAAGAAGAAGTTGTGGCACTTATTAAGGGTAGTTGTGTCCAGACATTTACAGCAGAGTTGTACATTGCCTAGCCAGATTTGAGCAACAGTGCTTCCAGAGCTGCCGGACAGATCAGAGTTGCCACACTCTGGGACTAGGGATGGCAATGGGTCGGGTCGGGGCCGGATAGTGCATATCCGTTACCCTACCCAAAGTAGTTCGGGTTTTACCCATACCCATACCCACATAAGAAACGGGTAGAAAATCAAAACCATGCCCATACCCGCTCGGGTTTCGGGTATCCACGGTTATCCATGGGTAATAATTTCTCTTCATAATTGCAATCAATATGTTAATATTCACACATATTCTCACATTACATAAGAAGAAAAGTACGACAATAATTCACTAGAATGAAGAAAATTAATTAAAACAACACAATTTCATGAAAATATTATATTTATATACTAAATATAAAATATGTTAGAGAAAATAATGATTATTTATAGAAAAATACATATGCATGTGTATAATCGGGCGGGTTCGGGTTGGATAGTGAGAAAACCATGCCCATCCATTACCCGCAATATTCGGGTTCGGGTTTTACCCGTACCCACTAAAAGTCCTTCAGGTTCGGGTTTTACCCTACCCAATTAAGTCGGATTCGGGCGGATATCCACGGTTACGGATATTTTTGCCATCCCTATCTGGGACCGAACTGCCTTCGACAAATGATCATGCTCTCTCATCCATAACATTGTTTGATCAAGAAATCGTTAACCATATTTTATTTCTTGGTCAAACTTCCCAGCTCCCTGAATTTCATGTCCCCCACGCATCATCGGACAGTTAATTATATGTATGCATGCTCGCAACTATCAGACACTTTTGCAGATTTAGGTTCAGGGAGTTTATTTTGTGGGCCATATGGTCCTTATGGAAATCTGGACATAATATTTAATGTTCCGTTGATGGATGCTTAGGTTTTATTGAGATAGCAAGTTTTAGTACCCGTGTGTTTGCATAGTGCAAAATTGCATGTTGATCTTTGCATTTTACATGACTCCAAATCAAACTGACGAGTGCATAAAGAAGAGGTTTACAGTCCAATATAATTTTTTTACAAAATACAAGATACGAGTCTTGCATCCGATGATGCACAAATGGTAGGATCTAAGTTACAAAAATTGCGCAATTTCAGCATTTCCCGCCGCGTAGCGCGGGCTTATTACTAGTAAAAATATAATTTGGTTGAATTCAATTAATGAAATGGTCGATATTATGGCAATCATCTGAATTCAAGTAGACTAATTTGATCCAACCCAAATGTGTTAATCCAAATTAAAATCAATTCAAATCTAAATCAAATCCAAAATAATTAAAATTATAGATGGGTTCATTTGCATTCGACGCAGTTTCGATCCAACAAGAACAAATGGACCAAATAGTGCCCAATAGAGCGCTGTCAGTGGCACGAAATTTAGTCCACACGACTTTTCAATGCCACCATGAAGAAGAAGAGTATGCAAATAACTCCAATTACTCCATCGTTCTCCCAACTGTCCGCCATACGAATTTTTCCATGAAGTATCCATTCATGTCCCCAAATGAGACGCAATGCACAGTGTTTTCCAATACAGTGCATACACTGTTAAACAGATAAATCATCGGCAATAGAATGAGTTCCATCTCTGCAAACAAATTCAAACCCTTGGTACGATGATTAAAGGACGAGAAGATCAACCACTATACTACACTCTTCTATGTAAACGTAATGTATGGATAACCTAATAAATTCCAAGTTCGTACTTTTTTGTAGAACAAATCTAAGCCCCAAGTTCCACAAAGACAAGTCCAAAGTCCATGGAGTAACTGACCTGTCGAATTGATAATTGAACAACATTATGCTCCTATATCCTTCATTTTTCTCACTATAAAATCAGCACCTTATTCTCTAGTAGAATCAAACTACTCAAGATCTGCTTACAGTTTTGCATCTATCTCAATTCTCAACATGGTTCCCTCAAAATTGCAAACTCCCAAGAACAGCCATTTTACCAATGTTTCCACAGCCTTGTTGCTCTTGGCTCTGCTTCTTGCTAGCCTACACACCACAGGTATACATGCACCTCTAATACACACTCTTATAATATGCATATTTTTACAAATTTTAAGTTGGTTCTAGCTATATTGTGATTGTTTCACAATGATCTTTTAGGTGCCCAAATCGGAGTTTGTTACGGGAGGGTAGGCAGCAACCTGCCACAACCGGGCGAAGTCGTAGCACTCTTCAACCAGAACAACATCCGAAGGATGCGACTCTACGACCCGCACCAACCTGCACTGGACGCCCTGAGGGGGACGGACATCGAGCTCATGCTTGACGTCCCCAACGACCAGCTCCCGTCGGTCGCCTCCAGTCAGGACGCCGCCGACGCGTGGGTCAGAGACAACGTCGCCGGGTACGCCGCCGCCGGCGTCCGGTTCAGGTACATCACGGTCGGGAACGAGGTCGACCCGGCCGACGGCCGGTTCGCCCCGTTCCTGTTCGGGGCGATGCAGAACATCCAGACCGCACTGAACGGTGCCGGTCTGGGCGACCGGGTCAAGGTCTCGACCGCCTTCAAGTACAATGTCATGGGCAATGCCTTCCCGCCGTCTGATGGATCATTCAACCTGCAGTACCGCAGCCTCCTCGATTCGATCCTCCCCTTCTTGAGGAACAACAACTCCCCGATGATGTTGAACCTGTACCCGTTCTTCAGCTACCGCGACAATCCGGGCAATAACCCGGGCCAGATCCGGCTCGATTACGCAACCTTCACCGGTCCGCCCGGTTTGGTCTCCGACCCGCCTCTGAGCTACAGTAACTTATTCGACGCGATGCTTGACGCGACTTACTCTGCTCTAGAGAAGGAAGAGATGGGGTCTCTGAACATCGTGGTGTCCGAGACCGGTTGGTCGTCGGCCGGTGGTGGGGATGCCACGACGGTGGATAATGCGAGGGCTTACAACTACAATTTGGTTCAACATGTTAAGGTTGGGACCCCGAAGAGGGCTGGGCCGATTGAGACGTACATTTTTGCAATGTTTGATGAAGGGGACAAGGAACCGGAATTGGAGAAACATTTTGGCCTTTTTAGCCCGGATAGGCAGCCCAAGTACCCGATGAATTTCAATTGAACGGCGGCAATGGTTTGATTATAGAGAGAGATTATGCATAACATAAGCTTAATTATCTGTTATGAAGTTGTGGGTAAAATATATAAGAGAGCATGAGCTTTGTTCCCTCCCTAATATCTACAAACTATACAGGGAGCACAATGTCTTTGTGTCTGGGGCGAAGGATAATGAAATACTATACTATTTATGTATTGATGTGGCATAATGTTCTTTTCGTTATGCATAAATATTATAAAGAGAGTTGTTTGGAAACTGAAATGACATTGTGAAAAATTGTAACGACAAAAATAGTATTAAATCTTTGAAATTTCGAAATTTCAAAGATTTAATATCATACAAACCAAAAAAAAAAACCCCTTTTTTCTCTAAATTACAAGTTAATACCCAACACATTTAGTCATGTGTTTGCGAAGTCTGAACTTTGAACCCAAACATTCTATTTTCGACCCATGTAATACACAACCCTCTTCTCTTCTTCCCTACTATCCTTTGTACAAGAACCCATAAAAAAATAATTAAAAAACTACTAGTTATTAAGTGACTAGCTTGGGCAGGATACTTCAAGTATCTCATATACAACATCATTTATATATTCTGTGAGCAAATGTTTCTAATGATTTTCGATTGTCTGCAAATTAATTAATTCTAGCCTACAGCTCTCATGAATGCCTACTTGCTCACTGTACTCTGTACATATCAGACAAAACTGATCGTGTCATCGACCTTCCCTTTCCCATCAATCTCTCCACAGAACTGTAATGGCTAGTGAGCCAAGCCAACTCATATGGGAAAGAATCAAGTGATAAATAAACCAATATATAGAGATCACAATCACTTTCTCCTTCTCTCGCCTTCCTTGAAGCTGCTGATGAACATGGCGGGAGGCAAAAACACACACCACACCATTATACTTGTGGTAAAACTCCCTCCTCAGAGGAACCACAAGCAAACCACCCAACAAAAATCCAAAGTCGTCTTCATTGATGCACAAAGAGTGAGACTATGCAGTTCATCTGTTTCAAACCAAATGACAGAGCTTTGTATTAACTGGTGACATTCAAGAAGATATGCTATTGCCAAAGAACAATGAAAGCATAAAACTTTTATAGCCTACCAGGTTATTCTGAGGAGATTTCCAGTAGAAACCCTGAATCACAATGACGGCTAAGTTGGAAGATACAACTATGAAGATACTCAAAGCATGTTTCCCCATCCACTCCAGTGGCAATGTCACCCATCTGTAGCCGTATATATCGACCTGCAAGTTCCCCCAAGATATCATGTGGGATGAGAATGCATTATTCAAGTTGTATTTGAGAAACAGTGATGCTGCGATCTTCGAGTTTTTACCAACAAGTACAGGGCGGAGAATGTGATGCCTGCTGTAGCAGAAGTGATCAACATGTAACTGATTGAATAGAGAGGTTTGTTGATAGGGAACCCTGAAATGGGAAAGAGTGAAAGAATTTATTCGGTCTTCAATTATATGACAGAATCGCTGATGCGAGAGGCAGTCATTCTTGTAACGTACCTAGAAGGGCGAGGAACAATCCGAGGACAAGGAAAGCGACTGAGAAGACACACCAGTTCTCCAGACGACCCTTATGATCCTGCAACCCACCATTTTTTTTTTTTTACAACAAATCGAGTAGCAACGGAGAAAGAAACTACGAGGATTAACGAGGAAAGGGTAAACAAACAACAAACAAGCAAGTAAGTAAGCTCACCTGCAAATGAGCAAGAACATGGCCGTACTGAAGCCCAATTAAGCAGGTCACTGCAGCTGTTAATGAGCTGTAAACGAAGTGGAACCGATGTCAAGGAAATCCATGCTCTTATTATTGATGAGACAACTAAGCAAAAAAGAAACAGCTGAAGTGAAAAGGACATGAGATTGCTCACCTGAGAAGGCCTTCAGGATCAAAGGGAGCATGGCACCATGAAGGAGCACTCTCAGGAAATACTTTATCTCTGGAGATATTACATTCCTGATCATACAAAAATTCTTGTTAGCTTATCGATCTCCTGCTTAGCAATGAGCGAATTGGCGATACTTGGCAAATAGTTGTACCTTGAGATTTTTATAAACAGGCTTTGCATACAAGTGACTGATACCAAGAACATAGCGATCGATCATTCCAGCAGAGTTGCAAGCAGGACCAACGTCACCTCTTACAGAACATTTCACCTGGCATTCATGATACAAATACTTAGCAAATTCCAGTATTGGTTGTTACATCAGAAGACGAATGTCAGCAGTTCAATGGAGAAGAAGGTTGATCATGCTCCTACCGTGTAGGCACGGGCATCGAGTGGAAGGTCGGAGTAACCTTGTCCAGGTACAAAAAATTGCCAGTCTGGAACATATAGGCCATATAACAACCCGAGATACACTGCAATAATAGCAAATGCTGCAACCCTGAACAATGGAAAATGTTCACTATTGTTATCAATGAAAGAGTAGAAGACTGCCTGATTAATGGGGAACGGCAACATTTTTCTCCCATGACAAACAAGTATTAGTCATTTGGTTTCCAAAAGCAAAATCCAAGAACTTTACCAATGCAAGTAGTAGCTTGTCAGGATTCCAACTTCTCTCCTTGTTCTGCGTGAGAGCCAGATCTCACAAAGAGCTCCAACAAGGTACCCAATTGATATTCTCTGGCTTGAAAGATGACAACAAAACACTAAGAATCTATAGGCATAACCTTACTAAAGACATATACTTTTGCCACCCATACATGGCTTCAACCTTCAAGGACAAGATAAATGAACAGAAGATAAATCATTCACAACATCATCCTTGCTTCAAACAGGCAGCCAGCTATTATAAAGTACCTGCAAGATTCCAAGCAGGCGTATTCTTTCCAAATCAACACCGTAGGTGAGCGAGTTCAGCCCGTGAAGGAAACCTCCTTGTAGAAGAATACCCAACAGAAATAATTTGGCTGCTCTGCCCACTGCTTTCCATGTGGCTTCTGATCTATTTGGCTCTTTCTGTGAAACAAAGAAGCAAAGCATTTCATCACCGGCATTCTTCATTTCCCTATCCCTTCAACACTCAAGGCTGAAAAAATTGAAACTATACTAGTGGGAATTTACCTTGTAGACGAGGGCAATTGAGATACCAACGACGAAGAGAAAGAAGGGCATCACAAAATCCGCCAAGTGAAGCCCATTCCACGGTGAATGACCAATTATTGGGAAAACAGAACCTCCATAATCGACCACAATCATCAGCTAAAAACCATCCGACAAAAAAAAGAAAACCCCAAATCAGCAGACGATTGAGTACAGTGAGCGAAGATTGAGCAAGTAAACAACAAATCGCAACCCAGATTGAGTAACCAACCAATCGCAACTGGGGAGCGAAATCGAGAATCGGAACAGCACATACGAAGACGCAGATACCGCGGTAGACATCTAAAGAACAGACCCGCCATTTTCAGAGCTTGAAATCGTCACAGTAGTCCCCTTTCACTTCTCCTTCAGTCTCAATCGTTACACTGCGGCGATTTCATCATTTACAAACGTCGGAATTTCTTTTTGGTGGGCTCTAAACCCCAATTGCTCTACTTGATCGGAGAACCCAAAAAATGAATCTTTTCCCCGGGGAAAACAGAGTTCCTCCCGCGGAAAAAGGCGATTAGGTTAAAGAAAATGGTGTGGACGGGACTGTCCCTTCGGCGCGAAGGCTTTCGGTTGGAGGGGGAAATCAGACGTGGCAGGTGCTGATTGGTGGGCAGGGTTTTCGTTGCATCCGATTGCCGCATAAACAAATGTCGGCCAACCAACCAACCGACGACAGAGAGGACCACGGGAGCCGCCTCTCTCTTTTTTGTTCCCTTCTCCGTTCGGATTTCCTCACTCTCCCTTTATTTTCCCCTTCTTCTTCTCTTCAACTGTCTCTGATTTCATCACTATCGTTGTTGCCTCCTTCTTGGTAGGGATTTCTGGGGATTGGAATGGAAATGGTTGGAGAAGGGTTAATGGTGGGGGGAACTGGGAAGAGAGGTCGGAAAAGAGTGGTGGGGGAAGAGTACGGAGGTTGGGAATTTTTTCTTCTTTCTTTCTATCAGTGGACAAAATATTTTTGGTTTTGTTTTTTAATTAATATAATAATGAGGTGGAAAATATAAAAAATTATTTTTTTTTATTTTTAATAATTTTTTAATTGCCACGTCACATATTTAACGGTCAACTGTGAAAGTTGACTGCCACGTAAGCTAGAGTTAACGGAAATGGACGGAGAGTGACCAAACTTGAACCATTTAAATAATTTGAGTGACCAAGATTGGATTTAAATATTTCCAGTGACCAAACGTGAACGTTTTTTGTAATCTCAGTGACCAACCATGCAATTAACCCAAAAAAAAACTGACTATCGATAATGATTCTCTCAGTTTGAGGATAAATTAAGCAACAACAAAAAAAAATTAACCCAATTACCCTCGTTTATCCCAAGGTGAATTCTTACCCTGACTCAATGATAATAAGAATAACTAATGATTCAGTAATTACTCTTGATTACAATACTAATCCCATTCCGAAAAAAACAACTAACTATTCCATTTTTGCCTTCTAATTACAGTAAAAAATAAAGTTTGTGATGAAAGAAATTAAAATAATTTACCAGGCTCTGTTTTTTTTACCAGATAACAGGGCCGATACAATTCCCGGATGAAAAACGGCAAAATCGTGACGATATGCATTTTCTCAACAACCAAACAGAAAGAGAAACAGAAATTGTTAAGGGGGTTAATCGAAACGGCCTGGCCTGAGTTTCGAAACGCGAATAGAAGAAAAAAAGAGAAACAGAGTAAGGAACAGGGGAGGAATGCAGATACAGGGGAAATACTTACGAGGACGCAGAGGCCTCGGAAGGCGTCGAGAGAAGCGAGGCGTTTTGATTTCTTGTAGGGTTTGAGAAGCTGGTGGTCGGCGCCGTCGTCGTCGCCGGCGCCGGTGGGAGAGGGCGGGGGCCGGAAGCTCTTCTGCATCTCCTCGTCGAAGGGGATTTGGCCATAGCCTGCTGCAATTGCCATGGCCATGTTATATTTATTTTTTTCCCCCGGTGCGATTAGAAGGCAAATAATATTGGGGAAGAAAGAATTTAGGAGAGATTTTGATCGGAAAAAATGGGATGTAGAGAGAAGGAGATGGAGTTGTAAAATGAACGAAGCGAGAGGAAGAGAAGGCAATTATATATCGTGTGTCTCCACTCCACTACTTTTTTTTTTCGATTTTGATTTGTTGGAGAAGAGGCTAAAAGGGTATAATTTCAAGAGAATTCGGGTAAATTTCTAATTTAATCTGAAATATCTTTTTTGTATTTTTCAAGATGAATATAACAGTTTGTCTACCTAACTTAGGGTTTTGGTGACATACCAAAACGATTTCAGACGTTTCATAGTATATTGATTTTTCATTTTTGATATTTTCATGAAGAGATCTATTGGGATTTTGATGTTGGGATTTAGCAATATGGTTTGGGTCTAATTTTCAAATATGTATCTAATTTTTGAAATTTTTTCTTTTTATAATTCACTAAATACTCTTGTTAACGATAAATTATCAATATTTTTTTGAATCATTCTAATTACTATCGAACAATAAATATTTTTAAGTTTTTTTTTTCAACAATCTCAAAGGTTGGAGTCTTTAGATTGTTTAAAATCTACAAATTTAGACTTCAATTATACCCCTTACGTTACCTGTTGAAAAGCAACATTATTGCTAAACCAATTTCTTGTATGCACACTTTAGTATTGATAAATAAAAAGTAACTTTAATTGGAAATTTTTTAAATCGAATTCTGTATTTAACACTCATGGATAATTACAAATGTGTGTGCTGTTGTTTTGAAGGTCAAGATCCAACTTTCGTTACTTACCGACCCGTTTTAAATGTTATGTTCACTTAAATACATGCGCTAGGATTTATTTATTTTTTCGTTTTTTGTTTTTTGGTTTTTAAACAGACATGGGCAGGGTATTATTCACAGCAGAATAACAAAGAAGTATGCCAAGAGTAGCATATTGGCGAATAAAGTGGAATGAGGCCAAATGTCCAAAACACAATATGGGACTATGGTGGAGTCACATTTTGTTTTGGTGTAGCTATGAATAAACCTGGGAATTGGTCGGCTCATTGGGAAATCCTAATCAATTGTCCTTATATTACAGTTATTAGATCATGTCCAAATTGATCGCACTTTTAATAATTTTGGATTGGAGTTAGATTTGAGTTGAGTCCAATTTGGATCAATTCATTTGGGTCTGACAGCAAATGAATATAGATGATTATATACCAAAAACAATATTAATCATTTCATTAGCTAACTTCAACTCAATTACATCTTTGACGTAGGTGTTGCCACCACCTTCTGTTTGTTTCATAAAAAAAAAAAGAGACAGAAGTTGTATTAGAATAAGATATTTAAACACAAACTAAAAGATTTGGTATGGATTTGCCCCAAATAAAATTACGATTTGACTTAGAATAAATTGGGTTTGGGCATACTCAAATGTTGAGTTTATTTTTTTTGCCATTCCTTAAATTGATCTTAGCTATCTCTTCTCATATGTAGATTTTTTAATGGGAGATTTCAGGTTCTCGTTTCAAATCCCTTAAATAGTACCTAAAACAACGAATATCCGTGATTGCATCATTGCTATATAATTAAAATTGCATACTCCATTTTATTTGTGTTGTAAGTGCATTAAAAATCTATCAATAATCAATACAAATTACAACAAGTACATATAAGATCGAATTTGACCCCAATTACAATAATCTAAAAAGATAATCGGAACTATATATATAGTTATGTCTTCGGTGCACTCACTTTTTTTGGTGCATTCAATGCACCCGCCTCATAATCGCCATTCTGAGCCGGCGGTTCATGTGAAAACGATGTCAATTATCACTTGTGGTATGATGAACAAGAACCACATGAATTTGTACAAAAAATCATTCAGGGTTCACTTTAATTTGAATGGTTTAGGGTTTAGGAATTTAGGGTTAGAGTTAGGGTTTACAATTTGGGATTTTGGGTTGGGATTCAAAATTGAAGGTTAATAGGTTAGGGTAATGGACTGATTAGTTGTGATTTTGTGTTACATCATCATATTAGACTAATGCTACCCACTAAAGTTTTAGATTTGATGTATTATGACCACTTTTATAAATGAACGTATTCAATGCACCCAAAAAAGTAAGTGCACCAAAGTATCCACCATATAAGAAAAGTTATCACTAGGAATCTAGGATCTATAATCCTTAATTAACAAAGTTTATGCTAAAGACGACAAACCGACTAGAACAAGAAAGTTGGGTACAGGTTAGGTCTCTGCACGAGCACATATATATTAATTATAGTAGCTATAGGTATTACTAATGATCGTACGTGTACGTAAATGCATGCGTTTAAGTACACTCTTAATCCATATTTTGTTCATGTCACGCACCTACCATTACCAATAAGTAACCTAACTAAAACTTAATCATGATTAACTACTCATCATCCACTTCTGGTGATCGTGTGTGGAAATGTACGACTTATATAATCACGCTACTATATATGCATGTTTAATACTACGCCAAACCCAGAGGTTGGAAAGCATGAGTAAATGCTTCATTTTTTTTTTCTTTTTTCTTTTCTATGGATTTTGTTCGAGTTTTTTTTTAGGATATAACAAAAGAAGAAGAAGAAAGAACCATATTTAGGAATTCTCCAAAAGCAACACACCAGGGGAAGTCATCTTAAAAAAAATCTCAAGAAACTAGCTCTAGATGAAGATTGCTACAAAACTTTACGTGTCATTTTATGTGCATCTTAGTTTGTAGTTTGACGGACCACACTAAAAACTATAGAATCAAAAGGAGTAGAGACCCCAGCTGACGAAATTCCAAGAGTAGGAGGCCCTCCAAGCGAATCCGCAAACCATGGTCAATGAAATCGTACCGTACCGACGGTTCAACCACGAAATACCAGTATCGGAGTCTAAATCGGTAGGCGGTATTTAACGGTCTAACGGTTCAACTACGGTAAAATCACAGTTTTATCATAAAATATTATACCGCTGACTTTTCCGGTACGGTTTCATGGACCATGCCTCAAACACACCTTGACGAAGCTGATAGACCACTACCTCAGCATCACCTTTCAAAATCGCACGAGACAGCCTTTGAAAAACAGCAATTTACAGGCAATGCATGTTGGTGGGTCAAGGATTATTAGCGAGGTGTATAGGTCGATAAAATTTAAATAATTCATAAATATAAATATAATGACATTTTAATTCATAAAGTACTCAACTTCATTGACTTTTACAACTAATCACGATGGTTTGTTATATTCTGAAAAGTTTGTAATATACATTTTTTACTTAATTTTTTATACAAACCCCTTCCCGATATTACAATTAAAAAATTATTCATAAATCGATTCCTCATCTGATTTTCAATATCGTTCTTGATTAACTTCGCGTCTGAAAATTACTATTCACAACTTCCAGCTGCAACCGTTAGGGAATTTTTTTTGTGAATTGACACTTGTGTTTTTTACTTGCATGGGTGCGTGAAGATTACGCATGAATTATGTGTCGCAATTCGAAAGTAAAGTGAGAAGCAATATAATGATGATGATTAAGTTGACGTAGAGCACTTGTCACACACAGATGCGTGGCTTTTTTTTTTTTTTGACAACAGATGCGTGGCTTCGTATCACAGGCTAGCTACATGTTAAGGAAAATTTGCTTGATTACCATTTCCATTTGTTAAGTGAAAAACACGAGCTACTTGTAACCACATTTATCGTTAGTAATTTTTTGGAACATTTCATTTTGGCAAAGACTGGTCGGGATAAACGACAATGCAAAAAAAGACAAAAATAGCAAAAAGACAAAAATAAATAGATTTACGTGGTTCACTAATACAATGTTTGTCAATTAGTACACGGGTGAGAGAAAGCCAACTTCAGTGTACCTGACAAAATACAAATTGCATAGAAGTATCATATCCAAAACAGGAGCCCAATAACTTTCGATCTACGGCAGATCATTCGATTCAAGTCATGTCAACTCCTCTTTAATCTTTTGGCTAATAATAATATAGATAATCATAATTATGTATATACAGAGAAAAACAAGATGAGGGAAACAAGGAAAGGCATGGAACAAGGCATGCGACATCCCACAAAAACAAAATTGCTGGGGAACTGGAGCCTTGTCAATTAGTTTATTTTTAAATAAAAAAATCAACTTTTTGCTTGTAAATTTACCTGCATTTGAAAGTTGAGAAGGAGTTGTAGTCCCTCATGAATCCAAACTACGCTCCGTAATTGTTGTAGAGCGATCTGTTATTACACGCATGAGTTACAACTGGGCTGCACCAAACCGATCCAAATATACATCCGTTGAGTATGATATTTTATGTTTACACAGAAGAATTAGTAGTTAGAGTAGACGGCACGTAACCTTTATCGAGTAGAATGAGGATTAGTTTAGGGTTACTGGTTGTCTACATGTGTATGTTTGATTTTAGAGTATTATCAATAAAAGAAGAAGAAATCCCTTTATTTATTGTATTTCAAGTTATCGTTCCATGCGACATATATACCAATCGCAAAGTGTACGTTGTGCTCTCCATCTCATTACCAAGCAACCTTTAATCACAACTAATATGAAAAGTGAAAGAAATTAAAGCATGGTAAGCAAAAGGCCGGGAGCATACTTTCCGTTTCCTAATCTCATTTTCATATTCTACCAAATTTGCTTTTCAATAATGACAATCTCATTTTTTGAGCAATTGTATAGGGAGGGAGTGGAGTTATCTCACCTTAAAGTACATTTTGTCTGAATTTCCCTAATAATTCAAGTTATAAAAATTGAATGGTTCTTCACGTGAAGAGACTAAAATGAAAAACGTAAGAAGTTAGCAAATGAATAACTCGAGTTATAAGAACTAAATGATTCTTCACTTTAATAAACGAAAAGCGCAAATGTAAACATTTAACTAACGGATCATACCAAATGTTTTAACTGTGTATGGGAGGGGTGAGTCATTTCCATGAACAGAGTTGGACTAGCACCATAGCTCCACGTACCCTTGAAATGATCAGGATCAATCCCACCCAAAACAAGAAGACATCTCCTTTTTATCTCTTTTCTTTCCAATTCCCAACATGGAAAGGATAACAGGAATCACCCCCTGTTGAAAAACGACGAATGAAGCATCAAATCTACTCACTATTCCACTGGGATGAAATGTGAACCATGTGTCTGCCTGAAAAGTGAGAATCACTTCCGAGTAAAAAAAAAGAATGGCTTTCCTCTGCATGCGTTTGAGTGAATGTGATTCCATGTACTTTTCAAGCATATAACAACCCTTGAAATTGGCTTCAAACCCCATCATCTACATATCAACAAAGAAGAACAAGTAACACATGTGCCTCTCTCATCATGAACCAACTCTGCAATTCGAAAGCGTAACAGGGCTCGAGTTTGCAATGTGGCTTGACGATCATAGAAGAGGGATGCACTTCGACGGATCGAGTTGAATCCAGCAATGGCGCCATCAAGAACACCGTCCTGCAAATAACCCTGAAACACAACCCCTAAAATATCTTTCACTAATGATCGCGATTCTCTGTTCCGATTCGTTGCACACCTGCTAGTTATTAGCACATGACCCCTCAACTTGGATAGTACTTATAGTAGTCTAGTGGTCTGATTAACTATTGGGTTAATTGTATTGGGTAAAACAAATCCTCATTTGACCGGTCACGTGGCAGCGCCGCCCGAGACAGAGAGCTTGAGTTTTTCAAATCCGTATCCCGTTATATCTCTCGTCCGACGACCGAAACCCAGAAATAGAGAGGAAGAGAAAATGGCTGTCACTAAACTGCCGAACGCCGGCGCAATCGCCCCGCTCTTTCTCCTATCGACGGCCGCATTAATCCTCGCCGGCGCAATCGTCACCCCACACTTCCCCATCGAGGAAGCCACCGTCGAACAAATCCAGCAGGCATTCGCCCAAAATCAGCTCACATCCAAACAGCTGGTCAACTTCTACTTTGACCAGATCCGATCCCTCAATCCCCTGCTCCGCGGCGTCCTGGAGGTCAACCCGGACGCGCTCCGGCAAGCGGAGCAGGCAGATCGCGAGCGGGCGGCTGGCGGTTTGCTGAGCGATCTGCACGGGATTCCGGTCCTGCTGAAGGACGGGATCGGGACCAGGGACGCGCTCAACACGACGTGTGGTTCGTACGCGCTGCTGGGCTCCGTGGTGGCGCGTGACGCCGGTGTGGTGGAGAGACTGCGACGCGCCGGGGCGGTGATACTAGGGAAGGCCAGCCAGAGCGAGTGGTACAACGTCCGGTCGTTCTCGATTCCCGGCGGCTGGTGTGCCCGAAGCGGTCAGGCCGTGGTTAGTCTTTACATTCAAACATCGCGTTTTAAAATTTCAAAACTTACGCTTTAATACTTTTAGAGTCACCAAACGCGCTTTAAACTATATTGCTTACTAGTTACTACTTGATCACTTTTGCTAATGAAAGATTAGATTGCGGCTAATGTTTGGGTTGATCAAAGTTTAGAACCCTTACGTGGAAGGCGGGAATCCATGTGGGTCGAGCAGCGGGTCGGCCGTATCGGTAGCAGCCAACATGGTCGCCGTCTCACTAGGAACAGAGACCGACGGTTCGATCCTCTGCCCGGCTGACCGCAACTCGGTGGTCGGGATCAAACCAACCGTCGGGCTAACCAGCCGGGCCGGAGTGATTCCAATCTCCCCTCGTCAGGACACAATCGGGTAATAAGTAATAACCAAACTCTGTTCAAGTTACCTTTAGTGATTCCAATGCCTGCCCTCCCTAAAGCTTTGAATCGTTTCGCAGGCCTATATGCAGGACAGTGTCCGACGCGGTGTACGTTCTCGAAGCGATCGTGGGCTACGATCCTCGCGACCACGAAGCGACGAAAGAGGCAGCTGGGTTTGTACCCTGTGGCGGGTACAAGCAGTTTCTGAAACGGGATGGACTCAGAGGGAAGAGGATAGGCGTAGTGAGGAGTCCGTTCTTGGATTCTGTCAATGATTCGACAGTTTTAACCGCGTTCGAGCTCCACCTCGAGGTGTTTAGGCGAGGAGGTGCGACAGTGGTGGATCATCTGGAGATTGCTGAGATAAATGTGATTCTGGATCCGTTCAAGAGCGGGGAAGTTCCTGTCTTGATGGCGGAGTTCAAGGTCGGGATCAATCAGTACCTCGAAGAGCTTGTCGAATCACCTGTTAGGTCCCTGGCAGACATCATCGCTTTCAACATCAACAATCCGGAGCTGGTAATCGGCTGAAATGCTAAACCAATTCCAGTTTCATTCTCTATGAGCATGCTTGTTGCAAGTTGTAACACGCTATATTGTGCTGGTGCAGGAAAACATGAAGGAGTATGCACAGGACCTGTTGGTTGCAGCTGAAACGACAAATGGGATAGGGGAGCAGGAGGTCGAAGCGATGCAGTTAATGGAGAATCTGTCGCGAGAAGGCTTCGAAGGACTGATGAAGCAGCACAAGTTAGATGCCATGGTGACATTCGGCGCAGATGCTGCTCCGGTGCTGGCTATGGGAGGATACCCTGCAATTTCAGTCCCTGCTGGTTATGATGGCAAGGGAAGCCCCTTTGGGATTGCTTTTGGAGGATTGAAAGGCACCGAGCCAAAGCTGATCGAGGTTGCTTATGCCTTCGAGCAAGCCACCAACATCCGCAGACCTCCTTCAAAGCTGCAATGTGAAATTTGAGTGTCTTTCCATCCACATACACTTTTCTTTTAGTAGTTTTGCTTTGATTTAGTGCCAAATCAAAACGTCCCCTTTGAGATTCCCCGACATGTATGCACTGCAATTTGCAGGAGAATGGAAAAGATGAAACGGGCAGATGAATGCAATAAGGAAGATCCAAAATGTACTACTTATATCATATCATAGCCGAGAAATGGGTTCTGTTGATCACCAATAACAAAAGGCATAAGCTTTCACTGAGCATGACAAAAGACACGATTTGCTTGAATTCCTCTAAGCTTATATATCTCGACACTCCTAATATATAGACATGGAAACAGGTAGATAATGTGGGATGGCAAAGTCTCTCTCGGTAGGTGGTGGTCTACTCGAACGCCCACTGGTTCTCCCTCCTGACCTCTTCCTCCTCCTCCGGGGTGAAATCGTTCTTGATGTTGAACGTCTTGCGAATCTCCTCGGGTGTCTTCCCCTTGATCATGTCCGCCACAGTCTGGCAGGTCAAATCCAGCAAGCTCTTGATGTTCAGATAGTTGGCAGCCTGTAAAGAACCAAAAAGATTCGAATCATCAGCAACTCCAAACACTAATGCAGCTTAAACCCACAAACTGGATAATTAAAAGTTCAGATTTTGTAGGAACATTCTAAGTATGGAAACATAGATTGCATTCTTAGCAACAATTGCAGTGATTTGTGTATACGTTTAACCTACAGAAGCAAGGTACTGAAATCCCTGAATTTGGATATCCTATTCATACAATACACAGAGACATTCAACAGATTAACAAAATCTAAGACAGGCAACAACACAAACTATCGAATCTTGCATAAACCCTAATAAGAAACAGCGCAATCCGCATTTAGAGCTTATATATATCCGTTCAAGAAGCCAGAACCCTAAAATATTAGGGGCACAAACCCTAGAGGAAGCAAGAAACAACAAAATCGAGCATCGAACAGAAGAAATCCAAAGAACCCGAGAGAGGGGAAATGAGACATTTACCAAGATGAGGTCGAAGAGGGTATTCTGGTCGACCTTGACGAAATCAGCGTCCCAGGTCTTGAGAGCCTCGTCGGGGGAGGTGATGAGCTTGTCCTTCTCCTTGTCGGCGCCAGCCTCGACGTGCTTCCGGCAGTACTCGATCACCTTGGCCAGGATCGCGCTGGTGACGTTGGGGAGCGGGATCTCGCTGTCGGCGCAGTCGTCCTCGATCATGTGCTTAATAGTCTGCGACTCGACTGCCACCGCCTCCTCGACCTCGAAGGTCTCGCCGTCCGACGACCTCAGGGTGAACTTCTTGGGTGCGGTCGCCATTGTCGCCGGTGATTGGGTTTTTGAAGAAGACGAAAAAATAGGGCTGGGAGGAAGGTTCTAGAGCAGCGAAAGATGCAAAGTGAAAACGATGCCAATGAAGAAAAGAGTATTTATAGAACTGCTCCGAGGGTGAAGCCAGTAATTGGGCCGTTTCCTTTTGGGCTTTGGAGAGAAACAGAGTTATATCCGTGTTTCTTAAGGCCAATACTACGGTGCCGCTATAAAAAGTGCGGCACCGATGCCTGCAACTTCTGATTGGTCCATGTGGCTATGACGTGGCACTTATCGGATTTATGAATCCAGCCCAAACCAAATGCCTTTATGAACCGGCCCGATGCGATCCAGTCGCCCAAAATGACGGAGAATGCAACTTAGTGGCGTTACCCTCTTTAATTCGTTATTTTTTGAGTTTGTTTCCATTAATGCCTTTAACAAAAAAAAAATGTATTGCTTGATCTTTTGTTTCTCCAGAAAGAGGAAAAAATTAAAAAAAACAATACTGAAAAGCACTGCGTTCGTCTTCAGTCTTCCTCGTTTTCCATCTCCGGCCGCCAATCAAAAGCACTTCCGGCTGCTTCTCCTTCGCCGATCCCATTTCCATTCCCTCCCTCTGCGCCCTCCCTGTTGGAATCGTGAAAATGGAACGCAAAGTTCCTTGGAGGTGCCTAGAGACATTCGTTGCGTGCTAGCTCATTTTTAGCGTCGCAAGTTCTGAGAGGTATCATGCTACAGCATTCAACCCTTCAAAACCTTTCGACTACTAAGTAAGTAGTACAACAAAAATAACTTGCCAATGAAATTAACTCGTGTTCCCATGACGCAGAATATATATTTACAACGAAGCATCTACGTCTATGCCACCTGCAGGGCTTCTTGGCGCTTGATCTCGAAAACTTTCTTAAGAACATCCTCTACCACCTAGTTTTATAGACAGAAGCCATATAATCCCGGCATCAGTGCATAGTGGCGAAACATAATTTTCAGCATTGTTTAGGGATCATAGGCAAGAAATGTTTACCTTATCTGGGGTGGAAGCACCTGAGGTTATGCTGATGGTAATTGGTCATTCTGGTAGAAGTTGTCTTTATCAATAAATTCCCCATGCTATTATAAAACAACAGGAGATTAGGAAGTGATGAACCAAATCGACGAATAAGGATATTAGAAAGTTGTCTTTCTGGAAATAAATATTGTACTCCAGCAAGGATGGGACGAGGATGCAGTGGGTGTTTTTTCTGCAACTAAGTGTAACTTGAAGGCTATCTTGCTATTCTCTGTTCAGTGTCGATCTAGTATGAAGGGTTTCCACGGAGCTCAGCAACTTCTTGAAGATGTGACGTGTTGCTTGAGTTCCATCCACCAACAACTAGAATAAGGTCAACTTTTTCCTCCACCAATTTGAACATGGCGCCTTGTCTCTCCTGCAAAAGAAAAACAGACAATTTTAGCTTACAACACTAGAGGAACGCCAGGAAGATTCTCACAAAACTGAGAATTTGTCATTGAATGTAGGATATCTCTGCATCTCATCTAATAGATCATGAAGCCTACAGCCACACTCTTTATTATCCTAACAACAATCCTCTGCTGCTCGATAATAGAGAAAGATCAATGAGGCAACAGAGAAATACAACGAATTCAGGAGCAAAATGACATGAATCATCATCCTAGTTGCTCCATCTACTACGACTCGAATTACCGGGAAGGGGTTGTAGTCGTTGTGGAGAGTCACTACGCCCTTCCAACAAAATTCGAATTCAGTATCGTTGATTCCAATAAAGGGGGCGCCCGCGAAGAGCGACAGGGACGACTACGGATCGTCTTGAACGTTGCCGACAGAGTACCTCGGAGACAGAGGGATGCTCAGACACAGGGACTGGTCTTTTTGTTTTATAGAATGAATAGGAGGAGGAATAAGATGGTTTATTTCGGCGTAATTTCCATACTCGAGTTTGGATCGTCGACGATGAAGTTCGCCGGAGAAGGAACGCCAGATCGAGGAAGACGACCTTCTAGTGTGCCTTTTCGTTCGATTTTACTGTTTCGGAAAAACAAATTCAATTAAAATAAATTAATTTTACTGAATTGATTGGAAACAGTGCAAAACGGCTGAGACATTTCCGTCAGTATAGGTCACCTAGCGGTTAGGCCCATTCTCATGGGCACCGGTTTGAATTAGGGTTAAACAGATCCAGTCAGTGACACATCAGCTCCACGTGGCCCAATTATAATCAGCGTCACCGGTGCCGCAGTTTTTATTGCGGCACTGTAGTATTGGTCGTTTCTTAATTATGTTCGGATTCTGTAAGAGTTCACGTTTGGGCTGGGCCTGCTGATAGATTGTCTACCGCTCAGATAATTACCAAACGGCCTAAACCAAATCCCGTTATCTAAGGAGGGAGCAGTATGCTGACGTCACCCAATGTGAGGGCCGGTACTCTGGCCATCGACGCCGGCGACCAGAACGACGCCGTGAGAAGCCGGAGAACCATCTGCAGTTCTGAGAATCTTCAAGCAGCACGTGGCCAACTTTTAAGGGTTCAAATAAGCAAACTACTATAATGCTCTCCCATTATGATATCAAGAGAGTAAATTAAAATTATACATGGCTGTAAATTGCCTTTCACAGGTGAGATCAGAGCCCCTCCAGGCCTCCGTCTGAACATTTCAGAAAGATTACAATTTACAATATTGACCCCAGCAGCCTCAGGTTGTAATTGTAATCCAGGCAGTTCTTCTCACAACTTGGAAACAGGTAAACCTGTGAGAAGAACAACACAAGAAGGTAAGATTTGTGTGGTAGAAATGGGTTTCCTGGGAGTTTTGGTGGAAGAATTAAGAGTTAGAAGGAAGCTCACCGAGGGCTTTAGCATTCACAATGCTTGGACTGGCGGCAGGAGGAGGTGCATTTTCATTCAGGAACGGATCTACTCGATTCGGGTCGTGCCATACAGGGTACCCTTTAATCTTTCCCTGCAACAATGATGAAATTTGAGAAACAAGGGTTTTGATTAGTTCCAAGTTGCTTTGGTGTCTTGTGAAAGTGTACTTTGTAACTTCAAGCTTAAAATTACCAGGACGTTTAGAGCTGCCAGAGTTGCCATCCCCTCGCGAGTCCACTGCAGAAAAGAAAGTTTACTTGTGGTCACTTGTTTGAGGTCTACTGTTAAGGATAAGAGCTATTGATCAAAATTGTAAGATCCTGTGATTTTCATGAACCATTTTACCTTGGAAGCAGAAGCAATGTGCGGCACAACAATGGCATTCTTCATTTCACCGAGACCCGGTTTCATGTAAGGCTCATCCTAGTATAACAAGAATAACATGATTGATTAAAAAAAGAACTTGAGATGGCACAGGATTTAGAACATTGCAGGAACTTGGTTTTGAGTTCCGGTTTTACCTCGAAGACATCGAGACCAACTCGAAACATGGGATTCTGTTTCAAATGTTCGACTAGAGCTACTTCGTCAACCACAGGACCCCTGCTGCAGTTTATCAGGATAGCTTCCTGTAGGAGACCATAATGCATGGAATAAGAAAGGGTATTTTCTCAATGGACTAAAAGCTCATTTGTAACAGGAAATCTTTTCTACCTTCTTCATTGTGGCAAGACTCTCCTTGTTGATCAAGTGGTAAGTGGTCTTGTCCAGAACTGGGTGAAGACTTATCTACAGAACACAACATCATTTGACGGCCTAATGTTATCTCATTACACGAAAACATAACGACGACGATGAACACGATGCTGTAGGTGAAGGAATTTACCACATCAGCCTCTTGAAGCACCTCGCTCATGGACGATGCTCGTTTCCAGGTCACCGGCTGCTCGCCATTTGCCTTGAGGAACTGACCATAAGCGGTGACGAACTTCTCCAGCCTCGTCGATTGGTACAGGTCGAAGTATATTAGATTCATTTTGAACCCTTCAACCTGTAAATCAAAACAAACGAAGAATTCAAACCATAGGCCTTAGTCCTTACTACAAGCTTTCACACAATGTTGCAAAGTACCATCATTCTAGCATAAGCGGATCCAATTCGGCCAGCCCCAATGACACCAACAGTTTGTCCCTTGAGCAAGTTCCCAACAAACCTAACCCACCACAAACACCAAGTCACAAGAATTAGGGGTGTACATGGGTCGGGTGGTCCGGGTTTAGACATTTTAATCACCCGACCCATGCACTACGGTTTGGGAAATATTAAACCCAAACCCACCCAGAAAAATTTAAATCCTACGGTTTGTTTCTAATTGGGTTGGGTCGGGTTGGCGATATTTTTAAGTAAAAATCCAACCCAACACAAAATATGTAATTATTCTACATCATAAAAATATTCTATAACTAATTAAAAATTCAAACGAATAAACCAAGGTGAAAGGTATCAAAATTCACAAATGTTGTTTGAATTTTAATAAAATTTGATTTACTTCAACTTATGTCTAGTTTTTTTCATGACATTTGTTGAAATAGGCTAAAAAGGTTACAAATGAACGCATCCAAAATATGTTATTCTATTAAAATTGTATACAAGAAAAAAAATTACGTGAATCATAGCTATATTAAATTTATGTCTAAACTTTATGCCGAAGAATGCATTAGATTAGGGAGACCTTAAGAGAAAAACGTGGCAAAATATCTTAATTTTCTCATAAGTATGACTATATACGACATAAATATTTTTTTGGATACGAACTCATACAAATAATTGGAACACGGGTTGGGTCGGGTTCTACGGGTTGTATAATCCAAAATCCAAACCCAACCCAAAAGAGGCGGGTTGTACAAAAGAAAATCCTCACCCAACCCAAAACCTTCATTTTAGCGATAAATACGGGTGGGTTGGGTCGGATTGGACGGGTGTGTCGGTTTGCGGGTGTGTTTGTTCACCCCTAACAAGAATGACAAAACTCTTCTCAGACACATTTAATCAAACACATGGTGGGCGGCGCAAAAAAAAAAGTTCGATACTCACAAGTGAGGAAGCCACCCATCGTATAATCCAGCCCTCATGAACCCATCAGCCTCCACAATCCTTCTCGCCGCCGCGAGCGAAAGCGAAGCCGCCAGCTCCGCGGTCGTCTCAGTAAGCACTCCCTAAAGCAAAACCCCCAAAACTTAGCCAATTCCGGGGACAATCTACACGAACAGAGAACTTAAAGAAAGAACCAAGCTTACAGGAGTGTTTCCAACTGCAACTCCATACTTATTAGCAGCATTCACATCCACGTTATTGTAACCAACTGCCATGTTGCTGAATGCCTTCCCTCCAGCTTTGCTCAGCGCCGCGAACAAAGTTTCCCCCCAATCTTCCGTCAACTGGCCGATGACTCCGTCGCACTTGTCGCCGATCAGAGCGATGATGTCCTCCACGGAGAGGATCGTTTTCTTCTCCGTACATATCTACAAACCCACCACGAAATTTCGTTACTTGATTGGATGAAATTGAAAACGGAGGAAGTTAAAGATTGTAACTTTATACCTCGAGGCGGCAGTCTTGCTCGATTAAGAGATTGATCCAGCGGGTACCGGGCATGGATTTGGTGCTGATGACCCTGTACTTCCCATTTGGGTTCCATACTTCAATGGAGACTGGCTTCGCCATGAGAAGAGAGAGCTCTCTGCAAATTTTTTCTCGCTTGCTCTGTTTTGAATTTCTTGTAACGTTTAGTCGATCATGGTTATTTTTGGATAGAGAGGTGGAAGGAATGGAGTGGAGGGGAATTGATTGTCCGTTTTTTTGAATCTTTGGATAATGATGACTTGGACTCGTGGATGATTGCCACGTAGCTCCTACTTTATCGCTTTAACTTTTGGCGCCAATTGGCCCTATTGTTCTTCGCCGAGAAGTCCATTTTCCAGGTTGGGCTTGTGAATGACATGGAGGCCTGGCCCAGTGAGCAGGCCGAAACTTTGGGCCTATGTGAATCATGGATTTGGGCTGGGGGGCAGCTGTGTGCGCGTGGCGGGCACGAGCAAGCTGAAGGAAGGGCCGTGGAGAGCGCGAGCCGGATTCTTGTGGTGGGTTTTGAGCCGGCGAGTTGGATTTGGAGCAAAGCTCAGAGTTGAGTTTTGGTCACTTGTTTGAAAGCTTCGTGGGGAATGGGGATGTTGAAACTCCAAATTCACCGGTGTAATTTACAGTCACTTGTTAGAGAGAGTAGAGAGAATATGAAGTTTTTGTGTTGCGATGGCTGAGCCAAACAAATTTAGGGACGGGAGGTCGAAGAAACGAAACTCGAACGAATATGAATCCTGATCAAATTCTATATGAACTCTATCGATTAATTAAGATCGATTAATTGAGATTTTTGTGTATGCATTCGAACTCGAAAATCGTAACCTAAAAGATTATATTGGGGAATGAATGGAGTGGGGTGGCTACAAATAGACCACAAGTTTAATGAGGATTGATGAACGATTATTCCAAATGTCCACTTTGGTAGGGAACGGACGGACTTATCAAATGACAATGGAGTAGTTGATTTTTGTAGTTGGCGGTTGGTACAAAAAGGTGTAGATTGCAGAAAATTAATGGATGCCCACTAATTAATATCAACTTATAATATCATACACTTTCTGAAAAAAGTATCATGGACAGTGACAAAAAGAGTTTGGGCGCATTACCAATGTTATAATATCAAACTTGCCTTTCCGTTAAAATTTTCAACAATACCTCGTCAAACACAGTCAAATCGTGGTTCATATGGCCTAAAATCAGCAAAATGGTAGGGGAATGATAGTTTTGCTCCACCATTTATTTCTCTAGGGCTCATTATGGTGGAATTATCAGGAGTATTGACTATATCGAAGAAATCAACAAATGTTAAAGTAATATTATTAGGGTAAATATTTTAGGCACTTGTGTCGCACAAACCATTGTTCGATCTATGTTGACGGTTTCTATATGGAAATTTTAACCAAAAAAAATTGTTGATAATTTTTTTAGAATACATAGATTTATTTGACGTAAAAAAAATAGATAAGCATATTTGATAAAAATATATAGTAAAAAAACATAATATCCCTAATAGGCTATTACCCCTAAAAAGTAGAATAATACTAGCAACGCTACAACCAATGCCATATTTTGATCTCAGTTTGACTCTTAACATTGAATTCTTTTGTTTCTATAATGAATGTCCATGAAACCGTATCGTACCGATGGTTCAACCACGAAATATCAATATTGAAGGCTAAATCGGTACGCGATATTTAACGGTCTAACGATTAAACTACGATTAAACCACGATTTTATCATAAAATATCAAACCGCTGATTTTTTCCGATACGATATCCGATTCGATTTCATGGAACATGCTGTAAAGCCAGAAACGGCAGAAAGCGTTTAAGAACGAGGACATTCTCAAACGAAAAGGGAAGTACAGGAAGAGTTTTAGGAAAAAATCTTACCCGGTATCGCCATTAATTAAACCCTCTCTTCTTCCTTTCTAGTCGCCAACTTACTTTATCTACACCAACCCAAACCAAAAGCCCAAAATTTTCCACTACAAAAACCTTCTCCGCCTCTGGAAAACCTTCCGGCGGAGGACAGACCTCACGACGAAGAGTTACCCCACCTCAACGATGGAGAGGCTGCTCTACTCTTCTTCTCCCACGGCGCCTCTCAAACTCCACTGCAAGCCCACTACTTCTTCTCTGCCTCGTCTTCCCCGAATCGATGCCGCGAAACTCGGCGGCTTCCCTCTTCTGCCACGGCGGCCGCTGCTGCAGCTCCGGCGAGCTAGGACCATCTCCTGCAAATATGAGACGAACCCACCGTCGGTAGCCTCCGTTTCTTCCTGGAAATTTCCGTCTCTGGCCCCTCTGCAAGTCGATTCCTGCGGTGGGTCGGCGCCAAGTTCTGATCTTGTCGAACAGATCTCGACTGAATCCAGTCATTTGCCACGAAAGGTAGTCTCTTTTCTCTGGGTTTAATTGTCTACGTTGAGATAGGATTAGGAATGCGAGGAATATCTATAGCTATTAGAATTTTTGAATTCTGTGGGGGATTGCATTTCCCCCCTGTTCACTGAAGACCTAGGATTAGCTGGTGACTTGAATTTTGAACAAATTTAGTGAATAATGAAAGGTTATTGTGGTTAAGATGATTTACAACATTGATGTTAGGACTTCAATGGCTACCGTACATGTAATGGCTTCAGCTTGTTGTACTTCATATTCCCAATGAGATTAGGACTTCGGTTCTGTAATGCCTGGTAAAATGCAAAGGGAGCTATTTCTGTAACCATCTTGAAGAAGTAAGTTTGAAATGAGAATGGGCAAGTTTGATTTCAATCTGTAAATAAATGTTGGTGATTGCTGCTTCAATACATAATTGAAATTTGTATGCAGGCTATGAGTGTTGCGGCTTGTGTACTACTCTCGGCTATCTTGATGTTCACGATGCACCCAATGTTTGCATCACCGGCATTAGCAACCTACCAAACAGCGGCCAAGGCCAGTGCTCCCGCTGGTCTAGGAGCAAAACTAATCCGGACCGAACTCTTAAGCAGCGCATGGACTGGTTTCTTCGCTGGTTGTCTCCACACACTCTCAGGTCCAGATCACCTAGCAGCTTTGGCTCCACTCTCAATTGGTCGAACACGTCTTGAAAGTGCTGCTGTTGGAGCTCTGTGGGGGTGTGGCCATGATGCTGGCCAGGTAATCTTCGGTCTTCTGTTTCTCCTGCTCAAGGATAGGCTCCATATCGAGATCCTCAGAACTTGGGGCACTCGAGTTGTCGGTCTTACCCTACTTGTCATTGGCGGTATGGGGATAAAGGAAGCTTCTGAGGTCCCCGCACCATGTGTTGCCCTAGAAAATGGAGAGTGTGATGTGGGTGTCTATGAATCACTGGATACCGCCCCTGCAGTAGCGCAGAAGAAGAAGATAGGTTTCGCTACCTTTGCTACTGGAATTGTTCATGGATTGCAGCCTGATGCGCTCATGATGGTTTTGCCTGCACTCGCTTTGCCTTCTCGAGTGGCTGGTGCGGCTTTTCTGGTCATGTTCTTGGTGGGAACTGTCGTTGCAATGGGGTGCTATACAGTTTTCATAGGGTCCTGTAGTGAGGCGTTGAAGGACCGGGTGCCTAGGATAACTGAGAAGCTCACGTGGGCATCTTCCTTCATAGCTATCGCTCTTGGTGTCTCCATTCTCATCAGCCAGTTTTTCGGGTTCAGCTTGTATTGAATTGATTGATACTTCTAAATAGGTGTTTGCAAGCTACAGCTTTAAAGGTAGAGGAGAGATGATTGAATGAGCCATTTGGTTGCATTATGCTGTCGAGGTCTTGCACAAGCAGTGAAAAAGAAGGCTAGTGTGTTAATCCATCGCCAATCTATCAGTTTTGAGAGCTCTATTTTGTTTTGTCTCCAGTTTAGAGTTTCAGGTCGTAATTCCCAGTCGATTTGTGTTTGACATGTATTAGTAAGGATTTTGATTATTGATTTGCTTGTACTTTGCACTAATTTTCCAGCAAGAGTTTCGAAGGAGCTATATGATATGAGTGACTAGGGAAGATTATCTCCATCGGTTATGGCCCGATGTTGCAGAACATATGGGAACTTTTCCTTTCCAGATGTAAATCATGTGAAATTCAATCTAGTTCTATGAAAAAAGGTTTCCTATATCATCACAGGAGTTTTGAAACTTGGATGTGTGAGGCCTATAAATTCGTCACGATGGAGTTCCTCAACTTCTGAGATCTATAACTAGACACAACCAGCCAGTGTTCTGAAAGGAAACAAAGCCACACACGGCAAAAAAACTAAAAACCGCACCAAACTCTCTCAAAACCTGGTCCAGTGGGATTAAACCACATGAACATATCTTGCACCAAGCATCAGATCTTTCCTTCCCACGGCAATGAACAAGACACAAGTTGTGGAAAGACAAGAAGTTAGAGAAACCTGCAAAGTTGCAGTACAGTGACATTGCTGCGCCCACCCCGAATTAGTGTTTTTCCACATAAACATAAGAACGCAGGAACTTTGGCTCATGGAGAAACCTTCCCTTCTTCTTTGCGGAAACCATGGAGAGCATTGTCAAGGGCTCTCTTTCTTGTTGATGTCGTGAAGGACACAAATATCTGCTGCTGTCTTCATCTGAGCAAATTCAAAATTACTCAAATTAATAACACTTTAAAAAATCCAGAACTGACGATTCTAAATGTCAAAGAGAAACCATCAGCTTATCATTGGAGTATCATGTGCTACCTGTATCACATTTACAACTTGTTTGATTGCCCATCCGAACAAACTTAAACCAACTAAAATCGAGAAAGGGGAAATCTCTTTCGTCAAGGACAACAGGACCTGAAAGTTAAAATCTGTGAGAAACTACCAGATTCAAAAGGGCATTTTCCCTTCTGTAACTACGATGAAAAAGGAGAGAGGACTTACATCCATCAAATGTTCAGTTGGCTTCTCGGCTAGAAGATATAACGAAATATAGAGAACCTGTGGCCCAAGGAATTGTACATTCAGAGTAAAAGAAAAACATCAGTATCTTCATTCCAGGAAGTGACAAACTCTAAAAGGAGAACCAGACAGACTAACCCTTCAACAATTACCTCACACGCAACACAACAGTAAGCCATAAACATACGGTTGCCATAGTAAGCCCTGAATAGCCAGCTGGTGCTGTCTTTCACATCTTTGTGACTAGCTTTACCTAGCAAGAATGTACTGCAAATCCAAGCATTCCAAGGTACAGTAAATGGAAGTTAGTACTTGAAAGAAAAGTTTGATGCTATTATATGCATCCACCTTAATCAAAGTGCAAAGAATCAATCAAACT